TTTCTAAGCCCCAAATCTTTAAGAAAAAGTTGGTTTTGTTCTTCGAGGAAAAATCGTGTCGAGTAGTGTTATCCAACTCATTCAGCAAACATTTTTGCAAAATTTGTTTGCAAAATTCGGTAGCAACCGCTAAAAAATTAAATCATGTAAATTACTATTAAATCCAAGGTAACAAAACTAGGGGGTATCCCGTTTGAATTTCGAAAAAAAAATTGTTTGGCCCTGTTGAGAGTAGCAGCAGCGAGTTGGCAGGGGGCTGTTGTTAACAGCCGGAGCGCGCTCTCTCTTGCCTGGCGCTAGCGAGTTGGCGGGCAGCCAGCTCACTAAGCGGGAGTTTAGTATTCTACCCACCCCCGTACATTCCGGTACGCGTCGATACATAGAATCGTTTATATTCACACCCACATACATACACACATATAATCAAACAACCGCGCCGTTTCGAGTGCCCAATAAACCGATTTGTTAACCATCATACTGTGCCTATTCATTGCGGGACACTTTGGATCTTCTGAGGGCTTATCTGCTGCACTAGGAAGCGCCCTACTACAAACAGGCCCAGCCTAATGTACATGCATGGGTTCACTACACCTCCCTTTTTAAAAAATAACGTAGTATATAAACTTATTTAAAACTATATTTAAAATTTGTGAACTAAAATGTATGTTTATATGTATAAATATATGTATAATATTTTTTCGTTTTCTTTTGTTTATTTATTTATTGAAATTTTTTTTTTTGATTTATTAATTTTTATTTCCGTATCATGTATCATGATGTATTATGGTAATTTTATACGTATGCCTATGTCTGTGTCATGTCTACGTCAGGGTAAAATTAAATGATTATGAAATAAAAAGTTTAAATCTATCCTTATTTACTTTTTGTTTTTTTGTCTTTTATATTTGAAATTGTTATATTAATGTTTTCTCCTATACTATCTACCGTATATGGTCCAGTATATTTAAAATCTAACTTATGACCTGTTTCATTTTTCAATAAAACATAATCTCCTGTTTTTATACACGTAAAAGTATATGTGGATGTGTGCAAAGTAGAGAAGGAAACGTTTCCGACCCCATAAAGTATATATATTCTTGATCAGCATCAATAGCCGAGTCGATATAGCCATGTCCGTCTGTCCTTCTGTCCGTCTCGATGAGCGCCTAGATATCAGACACTATAAGAGCTAGAGAAACCAAATTTGGTTTCCAGACTCATGGAATATCACACTGCTACAAGTGTATTTCAAAATTAAGCCCCGCCCCCTTCTGCCCAAACAAAGAACGAAAATCTGTGGCAGGCACATTTAAAAAGATAAAAGAAAAAGGAGTACGCAGTATCGTAGAGAATGACCATAGCTACCAGATTGCAGAATCTGATTCAGATCGGAATAATTATAGCCAGAATAAAGAAATTAATTTTCAGTTGTTTCCCCCGCCTCCTTCAGATAGAGACCCGCTACTCATTCTCTTTTTCGCTCGCACACTCTGCCTCGTTACGCGAGCGCCCGCTGGCGGAGGAGATGTAGAATATAAATGGTACATGTAGAACCTACATGTTATATGTAGAATATACATTGTAGATGTAAATAACAGATGTAGCAACAATGTAAAATTTTTTTTAAATTCTAAAATTCTAAAAAATCAAAATCAAAAATGTATATACTGACTGAGTACGGGTATAAGTAGAGTCGCGTCCCCAGAAACGACTCGCACGTTTCTTTTTTTTGTCTGGACGTTGATATGCAATGACTGCACCATCAAGTGGCCCATGCGACACCAAGCCGAAGCCTGTTACGCGCGGAACCCAGGCAGGAACGCAGCCCTCCTCCCGCCCAACCGACCGAGGGGCGCTGCCGCATGACGCGCGACGCGTGTTACCGAACCGATCGCGAGCATGCAGGAAAGATAGGTGTTAGACTAAAACTCAAAAAGCTAAACATGCAAAGATAGCTAAAAATATAACTAATTACGGGAAACTATGTTAGTATTAGTGATTTAAGAAGAGAAAGGGAATTAGTAGTTGATATTATGTGGTAGAGGGAATTGAAGTCCGAGCAAAGTACCCTAAATGGTTCGTGCAAGGAATAATTCGATCTACAAAGCGTAAGGAACAAAGGAATGAAGTTTCTAGTAGATATAATAGGAATCGTAAAGTTTATGCGGCTCAACAAGTCAGGGCTATCTACGTCGCCCTTGATCAGGTTGTGCATAAAAATCAAACCAAGCCTTTTTCTACGACTAACTAAGGTTGGAAGGTTTATTAAATGCAATCTACGAGGATAAGATGACAGTCTCACACCTGCATTCCAGTTAAGGCCACGCAGAGCAAAATGTAAAAAGTTTTTCTGGACTGATTCTATACGGTCCTGGTGTACTTTGTACTGGGGGAACCATACACAAGAGCCGTATTCTAAAATCGGACGAACAAGCGAGATGTAGAGAGTCTTCGTTAAATAGGGGTCGTCAAATTCCTTTGACCACCTCTTTATAAACCCAAGCATACCCATGGCCTTATTTACCATGGTAGAAATGTGTTCAGAAAACTTTAACTTTGGGTCTAATTTAACACCAAGATCATCAACCAAGGTAATTCTCTCAAGAGAACCACCGCAGAGGTTATAAGGAGCCAATAGGGGGCTAGAGCGATGAAATGTCATTACTTTGCATTTCGAGGCATTTAGGTGTAACATATTTGCACAGCACCATTATTGAAAGTTATTGAGATTGGATTGCAAGCGAGAGTGAAATGAAATGTCCTTATACTGGACACAAAGTTTAACATCATCCGCATACATGAGTACTCGAGAGTTTGTTAATACTGAAGGCAGATCATTAATAAAGAGTGTGAATAGTAGTGGGCCTAGATGGCTGCCCTGTGGTACTCCAGAAGTAACCTTAACAGGTGAAGAGAAGGAGTTTTTGAAGAGGACTCTTTGAGACCTAGAACAAAGGTAGCTAGAAATCCATCTCAAAAGATTAGTCGGAAACCCTAAAGAGTTGATGGATAGGGTGAATAGTTTAAGCAAGGGTCCACACAGAGCGTCGGCACAGTACCTAAGTACACAGCCGGGAACTCCGTCGGGAGTGGTTGACTTGAGACAGGGATAGGTCTAGCAAGCCGTCGATAAAGTCATGTCGTGACATGGGCACAAGGTTATTAGACTCGTTTATCGAAGACCAAACAGTACCTGGCAAATTGAAATCACCAAGAACTATCATATGGTCTTTATCTGATAGCGAGGAAGAAAAAGTTTTTAAAGCGGACAGGTGATCCTCGTATATTAAGCTATCCGAGGAAGGTGGAATATACGAGCAAGTAATGAGAATGGAAAAGCCTGGGAGAATCAGTTTTACGCACAGGAATTCCAGGTCTTGTTGAACCTGGACCATGAAATGTTCCGACGTGAAGTTTGAGTCCACTGCAATGAGGACCCCACCTCCACGTCAAGACGAACGGTCATTTCTAAAAATTGTGTACCGACCTGACAAAACTTCGGAACTAAGGATGTCCGGCTTTAACCAGGTCTCGAGAATGCGAGACTCTCAAGGAAAAGAGTGCTGAGCTTACTACGCAAGCCTCTAGCATTCTGGTAGGTAACTACAAGAGAGGAAGTTAGTTTTTTGGATGGGTGGAAGTAGAGGTGGAAGATGAGGATGGAGATGGAGCACTCGTTGAATGCTAGGAAGAGTAATGGGGGGCCTATTCGTTTTCTTAGCCTTAAACTCTTTAACCACCAAATGCTCTGGCCAAAACTTGGCGGAACAAATGGTTTCAAATTGAGTTGGGGGGACGCTTATCTTGAAGGAAGATATCTCCCTGGCGTAAGAAAAGTTAAATTTTTCCACCTTTAAGCCGACGGCTTTTATTTTGCTTTGTATAAAAGCGGTCACATCATTGGATGTGAGGTAACGGACTCTACAGACATTTCTAACTGCATACTCTCCGAGGTGACGCATTCGGCTCCCGAATCTGCCTCACCAGCAGCGATCGTTGCCCTTGGAGTAGCAAACGTAATCAACTGCTGCACTAAGGGAGTGGTCGGAGTAAGTTTTTCAGATGCCGGCGGACATGAGGCAGTCGGCACTTGCAAGTCCCGCGGAGTAGACTTCTTGCGCCTCGGAGACTCAGCCTGCAGCTGTAAACTGCTGAACTGAGTGTTCATGGCCAAGAGCCGATCATATTGCTGTTTAAAGCCTACGATCAGCTCTTTGAAGCCACTCCGCGTCTGCCTCATGAACGAACGCATGTCGTTTTCCACAGCACGGCATTCCTCACAACTATAATGTAGGCCGTTGTTTTGGGAAATGGCGTCTCCTACACGGCCCGAGATCCCTACACATTTTGCGTGCACTACGCTTTCGCAAAGCCAGCAGGGGATATTGGACTGGTCATGGGTGATCTGCTTCTTGCAGGTTTTTTTGGCACAGACGACAGAAAATTCCATATTTATGTCTTTTATTTTTTTTTTTACTTTGGGAAAAAAAAGTTCAAAACATATAGCAATCAGACCACTGTGCAGAGTAAATTCTTAGAGCATTCTTAAAGCGAAATCGGTAAAAGATGAGAGATGAGAGTGGTTGCAGCAACAGCTTATAGGTGAGAGCGTTACTACACAAAAAGTTACAAGAGCGAGAGCGAAAGAACAGTTATTGAGAGTTAGGTGATAGAGAGAGTGATAGATGGCAATAACTACGACAAAGAGCGGCTAAATGTAATGAGAGGGCGTACTTACGAAAAGCAACAACACAAACACACGACTTACCGACGCACAAAATTTTTTAAATAAGTTGTGTTTTTACACAATTATCAGGCATGCACCCGCGGTAAAAGTATGATTTTAATGTAAGTTAGTTCGAGAGTTAAATTATAGATAAAAAACACCGGCTGTTTAAGTTAAACAAAAGGAAAATGCGGAGCGCAAAACAAAAACACGTCTGGTCACTACGAAAGAGAACGAACGGTTTTTCTCAATCTGTCATCTACATCTACAATGTACATTCTACATCTCCTCCGCAAGAGGTCTGATCCAGATTCGGTAATTTTATACGATACCGCGTTTTCTCGTATCTTCATAATTTTGGATAACATAGATTTTCGTCCTTTTTGACTGCGGAAGGGAGCCTGAGTCTGAAAACAAAATTTGGTTGCTCTAGCTCTTATAGTCTCTGAGATCTGGGCGCTCAACAAGACGGATGCTGATCAAGAATATACATATATACTTTATGTGGTCGGAAACGTTTCCTTCTGGGAGTTACACTCATCCACTTTGACCACAAATATAGTACATATACCCCGTAACTCTTTTAGTACCAGGTATAAATTCGACTTTGTCCATATTTTCTTATGTAAATTAATGATATTTAGAGTAAATTCAAATTTATTTAAAGTTTTATTTGTGTAAACGAACATACATATGTAAGTAAATGTACACATGTACATAGTATATATTAGGTAGCTTATATTAGGTAGATGTGGATGCAGATATATGTAAAAATATACATACGTTGTTTTTTATGAATTCACTATCAATACCAACACCGAATTTTAGACAAATAACATGAGATGTCTTAAATACGGGTATTAAAACAGTAATATAGATAATTTATTTATAGTCTATAATTTTATCAATATCAATATTTTATCGATAGCCGGTAGAACGATGAATTTTCGACAGATGTGACCACTGGCACCATTCATCATCTATGCAAGCACAGCTAATGACAATAACAAAAAAAAAATATTTACTCCGAATTTTTAATTTTAGCAAGTTTAAGTTAAAAAATTGGCGATTTGATGGACAATGATAAAACTATGTCCAATATAACGTTATAGGCTTTACACATTAAGCAAATCCCGGAGGAACGGTGGAAATTCTTAACAGATGTGAAGCACCAAACAATGCCATCTGCACACTGAGCCCATCCCGGGGGAACGGTGGGAATTTTTGAAAGATGTGAAACACCAATTCACACTGAGACCATCCACCATTGATGAGAAATAGCTGATGCTCACAATTGCGTGCGGTGAAAATTTGTAAACTTTATAGTTAAAATTAATATAAATAAATAACATTGCAATGGTTGTGAATGTGATTCAGCAGCAAAACATATTCTTGCACAAGCTAATCATGTTGCTGGACATGATGATGATGATGAGGACAACTTTGACGAGGTGGAGATAATAGAATAGATATCTGTTTGGAAAACACTGAAGCCAGGAAGGTTTTGGTCATTTGTGAGTGCTTCTACTAAATGCAACAATGTTTAAAGTACAAATAGATATGTTATGTTTTTCAGAAGCGGTTCGGTTTATTTTGGGAGAAGGATGTATCCGAAAACAAAGAGGCGTTCTTTAAGGAAATTTGTAGAATGAACAGGTCCTGTTTTTCTCTGTTGGTTACTCGCCTGGAAGTACTACGGAAGAAGGACACAAACTGCCGAGCCGCAATTCCTCTGGAGAAGCGTATCGCCATAGCTTTATATTCTTTGGACTCTTCTTCTGAGTACCGAACAGTCGGTAGGCTTTTGGACGTGTCAGCCAACAGCGTCTGCAATATCCTGCATGAGTTTAGCAGGGCATTGATAAAAGAATTCTCAGAAGAATACAGGTCTTCATACTATCTCACTTCCGAGCAAATTGACGAGTGTGTCGAAGGATTTGAAGAATTTGGGTTTCCTCAGTGCCTAGGTGCAATTGGTAATAATGCAATAAAATCATCCATAATATATTTATATAAATATAAGTAAATCAATTTCATCACTTAATTTTTATGTTAGATGGATGTCACATTGAAATAAAACCACCTGCAGCTGAGGCAGTCGACCACCACAAATATTAAGGCTGGTATTCAACCGTATTATTTGCAATGGTAGACTACAGGTAATATTTTCGCACCTAAACAAATATTGTCAATTATTAAAATATTTAATTTCAATTTACTTCAGCTATATCTGAATATCTTTACATATGTAAACATCGGCTCCGCAGGAAGATGCAACGACTCAATGATATACCAAAAGTCAAGCCTCGGCAAGCGTATCGAATAGTCGCCTTTGCTAGAGGAAAAAGCTAAGGAAATTAGCGGAGTGAAGGTTCCAGTAATGCTGATTGGGGACTCGGCATCCAGGTTCTCAAAAAGCTTATGAAGCCGTACCCATTTTCCGCGTCTTTAGAACAGCGCACTTTTAATTACAACCTTTCCAAAGCAAGGCGTGTTGTGGAAAATGCGTTTGGGCATTTTAAAGCCAGATTCCGCATAATTGAAAAATGCCTGGATAGCCATCATAAAAACCACAGTGCCATTATATTGTATTGTTGCATCTTTCACAACATGTTAAACATGCACAACAGCACAACTAATGAATGTTGGGAACTTCTTTTAAGTGAGCAGAGAGAACAGCCCGATAGCAGAAATATTTCTGCTGATTATATTCATTCATCACAACAGATACGATCTGCAATTGCAACATATTAAATAGAATAAATATATAATTCAGTATCACTTCAACCTCCCTGGAGATAAGACGTGCTACCGAAAACCCAGCTTCGCGCGAACTCAAAAGCTTATCAGCAAAATCGCGATAAACAACAACAACTTTAACTCAATTCGTAAAACAGAAACACAAAAACAAGCACACAGCATCGGCCTCTTCCTGTATGGTAAAGCTCCTAAATCCACCATTAACAAAATAAACCCAATAGTAAACTGCGCGCTCAGAGCAGCCTTTGGCGCTTACCGTACTTCACCCTCCAGAAACCTCATGTCTGAAGCGAATATCGCCCCCCTCGACCAACGTTATACGTTCTCAAAAACCAAACTTTTTAAATCACTTCACAATAGTTCAGATACCCCTTTTGCCAAATTCCTGACCAAAACAGCACTAAAAAAACAGAACCACATCCTCAGTCTTAGATTTCCTTATCAACAAGTGTAGACAACTCAAAATACCTCTTGGTCCAATCAGGAGAAGAAAGGAAACGCCATACTGGTTATTTAAAAAAAATTCTGTCGACCTCACACTTCGACAATATACAAAAACCGACACAAACAACGTAGTATACCAAACTGCCTTTCTCTCCATTAGAGAATCTTACTCGGACCGCAAATTTATCTATACCGATGGGTCAGCCACGGACATCTCTATTACTTTTGCAATTTCCACAGAAATGTCTATTCTTTGTTTAGGTAGACTACCCAACTATTCTTCCGTCTTTTCTGCAGAGATCATAGCAATTGTAGAAGCAATCGAACTAGTTAGAAAAACCCCAGGAAAGTTCATCTCAGATTCCCTGTCCTCATTAGATGCAATAGTAAACACCAACAACAGAAGCTTCTACCCCGCTCTTGTTAGAACTCTTCTCGCACAGAATAAAAACAAAACTTTTATGGATACCTGGAGCCAAAACAGCACACTCCCTTCCCTCAATTAACACCATTAACTTCAACAAAAAAGACATAGACCAATACATAAAAAAGATGTTTCAAGAGGAGAAGCTCCAATTTATGAACGCCACATCAGACAGGTACCGCACCATCTCACCCCCATCCTCCACACTCCAACCACTTTTCCGATATCTCAATTTAACCCGAACAGACCAAACCAAAATAACCAGACTACGCATCGGACACTCGAAACTAACTCACGAACACTACCTTAATTCCAAAATGAACAGCAATTGCCAACTATTGCAAAAATCTTCATCCTCAAATATTCACCACATCATGTGCTGCGCTATCCAAACATAGACATAACATATTCTCCAACAAGAACCCCATTACGTTACTACAAAAACCTACCCAACCCAATCTACAACTGATTTGTCATTTCTCAAATATGCTGACATATACCATAAAGTTTAATGTAAATATATATGGGAAAATAATAATTTACTATAAAATAATTGTAAACCCTCTCCCCCTATCATAAGCGTATCTAATGTAAATACAGTCTCACTTTAACTATCCTAATTAATACGTAATATAAAATATAATATAATAAGTAGCTAAAGGCCAGAGCAGCCAAAGCTTCATCTTTCTACTAAGGGTCCTAATCTATGCTTATAACTCTGTATATATTAATAAATAATAAATATATAATAACTTAAATTTAAAGAGAAAAAAAAATGTACTTATAAAAAATAAGAACCTAGACTAAATTTAAATAATTAGTTTTAGTCATTTATTATAATTACTAAAATTTAATTAGAAAAAAAATGTATTATAAAAACCTACTACTGCTGTTTAAAAATTGCATAAAATCCGTTTGAAATGTCGTCTGGGTTCGGATCAGCTCCTTGAGGAGATCCTCCTGCTTTTTATGGTGTTCTTTCTGAGCAGCTAGGCGATCTCGGGACACCTCTACGAGCGGAGCCACTACGCTATATAGCTTGGTGCGCTTCTGTGGGGCCCATTGCTCGCAGAGAGTGCGCTGGAGCTGCAGGATCCGTCTTGGTTCACCTCAATCACGTCCGAAAAAAACTGATTAATATCTGCAATGAACATAACATAATGAACGTAATAAATACATCATATTATTTAACTTACTCTCGTTGTCCAGGGTGCTTTGCCCCAAGTTATTTATTCGGAAGGATCCTAGAAAGTCTTGCAGCTTCTCATAATGCTGCCATCCAGAGGGAACGAAAGCTCGCTTATTTTCAGCTTGCATGTTCTGAATATTCTCTCTTGCTTCCTTTCTCAAGCTATCACGCTCATCATCTAATTCTGAAATCAGACAGCCCTGTATCAATTCTCTGAGCTGCACATTACCTGAAATACGCAGTTTAGCAGCAGTTTTAGTTTAGTTAGCAGTTTAAACTTTGGTACTCCTCGGCTCGGTATTATTTATGATCTGTTGTATCTTATCTACATGCTTATACCAGCATCCTGGACTTTCATGACTTAATTTATATAGCATTGGGACAACTATTTTATGGATACGCTCGACCTGTCCATTTCCCCTAGGTACGTCTGTTCCAATTAGCAAAAGTTGAATCTTCTCCCTATCGCAATACGCCTTAAAGAGATGCTATGAAAGCAGCATTGCGATCTGAAACGATCCTGTACGGGTTTCCAAAGCAAACAGCCTGACGCTCCAAACAACTAATAACTTCATCAACCCCTGTGCTCCGAGTAGGATACAACCACACGTAGCTAGAAAAGCCATCCACAATCACGAAAAGGTAATAATATCGTTTTTTGGTTAACTCCATCGGGCCAACATGATCAATATAGTAGGCTTATCCCCCTTGTCTATCGGATGAACCCTTCTGGCCTACCTGCCTTTGCATTTACCAGATGCACTCTACACAATAAAATAAATAAAATAAAATGAGCTTGGGAATAAAATATGACTTCTCGATAAAATCTTGAGTCTTTTTACAAGAAAAGTGACCTAGCTGGTGGTTGATCTCAATGATTTCATTTTCCATGAGCGAAGGTACAACTAACAACTCCTTATTGGGATCTTTGAACAGAACTTGGTTCAATATGTAGAAATCTTCATATCCTTTGGACTTGACAACACTTTTGACCACCTTCGTCCATTCATCTAACAGCTGTGCCTCCCTCAAACGATGTAGCAAACTATCAGTTACAACATTACACGACAAGGCATCCACGTGTCTCATTTTAGAACCGGACCGAGGCTCTATCTCATAGTCTTCAACCTCGCACGGCTTGGTTGTACGACTCATGTAGAAAACAGGATGTCAAAAATTATCACCTGAATCTCGCTGAAGCATCACTACCCCGAATCCGAATTTCGAAGCGTTGTGAGTTGCTCCGAGCCGGGCTTGGGTTTCGCTTTAGCGTATTGATTGGCACTTTTCCATGCTATTGGTTGTGTTTTGCTGCGTGGGGTGATCGCATTTCTTTGACGTTCGATGGCCCGTGTGCTGAGTCTTTATTTTGCAGTTCTCTTGCTGTTCCCATTTTCGTGGATTTTGGTGGCGCGTGTGCTGAGTTTTCATTTTATTTGGTGTTGACCTTGTCATTTGAGAGCTTTGGTTACTTGGTTTTGCTGTGGTGGGGGTTGGTTATATAATCTTGGCCAGCGCCTTTCCGTCGATTGGCCTCGCGTGTGCTGAGTTCGCGCTTTTCTTACTTTCTTCGGTCGACGTCTTTCTGTGTTTCGACCTGTGCTGCGTTTTGAATTCGTTGGTGTGGATATCTTCACCTGGGGGAATCGTTGGTGGCATCGACTGCTTGTGAAGAACCATGGGATCCATGGTTCGTTACACCACTCCCTTTCTTTCGGATGGGCGTGTTTTTAGCTCTTATGCTGATGTCGTACCTATGGAGGTTGCGGGGGGCTAGTGGTGGGGTTTACCTCGTCGGTTACATCCCTGTTCTTGTGGAATTCCTTCAAGTCGTTGATGTTAGCTTGCAAAACCTTTGACTCGGTAGGGTACATCGTATTTTGGTGCCAGCTTAGCGGTGAATCCGTCGGCCGCGTTGGAGAGGTGGTGTTGTCGTAGGAGTACTAGGGATCCAATACTGGGGTGCCATTGCCGGCGGCGGAGATTGTAATGCCTTCCTTGTTCTTGGCTTGCCCTCTGAATGTTATTTCGGACAATGGTGAATAGTTCGCTGAGTTTGGTTGCCTTGCCAAGAGCGGTCTCTGGGGGGCTCCCTGTGCGCGTCGTGACTTCGTCATAAAGCGTTCCAGGCAAACGGGGCTCCCTTCCATGCAGTCGGAAAGCTGGGCTGAATGCCGTTGTCTTAGAGACGCTGGACTTTACTGCGAGTGATATTCTCGGTATTAATTCGTCCCAGGTGTTTTGATGATCCCCTACGAATTGGGCAATCATGGTCTTGACCGTCCGATTTGCCCTTTCCGTTGGATTTTCCTGGGGGCAGTACGGTGCGGTATGTTGCAGTTGTACTCCTGCTGTCTGTAGAAATTACCGAAACGATCGGCTCGTGAATTGCGTGCCGTTGTCGCACACAAAACGTTTGGGTATGCCGAAATGGCTCAGGATTCGTTCTCGAAAAGCCAGTTCCAGGGTAGCGGTGGTGGCCTTTTTGAGTGGTACCAATTCGACCCACTTCGTGAAAGTGTCAAAGAAGACTAGCATCATCGTGTTTCCCTTCTTCAATCGCGATAGTGGTCCAACGAAGTCAGCGCATAGTGTAGCGAATCAACAAATTAAGACCGCCACCTATTTATGTTCGACAAGCAAATTGTGCTTAACTGGTCAAAAAAATAACTGATACAATTGGCGCAAACTCATTCTATGTCTCGTCCGTAAAAAGGGGTAACATAAATGAAACAAAAATACAAGTCAATGACGAACAAAATATCTACTGCACCGTAGGATCACCGTTGAGGAACCACACAAACGAAATGGACCGGTCCAATGCACAAAATGCCAGAAATATGGACACACGAAAACCTATTGCACTCTACGGGCAGTCTGCGTTGCCTGTGGTGATTTTCATCTCACTGAGGCCTGCCCCGTAAATAAGGAGGACTGATCTGCCAAAAAATGTAGCAACTGTGGGGGAAACCATTCTGCCAACTAGAGAGGTTGTCCTGTCTATAAAGAATTGAAAAATCGCCTAAACCAACATATAACTGCAGCTCGAAACCCGGTCGTTCGACAAAACTTACCATATATACCATCAACTACGACTCCAGGAGTTTCTTTTGCTCAGGCGTTAAGTTACAACAAAGGGTCGTACGCCTTAGTCTCTAGCCGACACTTCAACCAACCACAGCTGGAACAATGCAGCATCAGGCATCAAATCAGATCCCAGAAATCTCTGCCCAACATACCCCTGTTAATCCATCCCAGTTGCCTAGTGGAATTGAGTCAATGCTGGTAACTATAACTAACACAATGGTAGCAATACAACAAATGATGCAGGAGCTTATCCGCAACCAAAATCTCCTCCTGGAGCTCCTAATCAAACAGAAATGTGTTTAAATGTCCTGTCTAAATATATGTTTCTGGAATGCAAATGGCATTTCGCAGCACAAATGCGAGCTCTTACAGTTCCTCGCTCAACACGACATTGACGCCATGCTCATATCAGAGACTCACCTAACAAATAAAAACTATTTTCACCTCGATGGCTATAACTTCTATGCGACAAATCATCCCGATGGTAAGGCACATGGAGGTACTGGCGTTCTGATCAAGAATCGCATTAGGCATTATCCATTGCCTTCATTTGCTACACCTTATCTACAGGCAACAGCAATTCATATTGAAATTCAGTGCGGCTACCTAAACCTAGCCGCAGTATACTGCCCACCACGTTTCTGCATTTCCGAAAAAGAATTTGTAACATTCTTCGACCTACTAGGTGACCGATTTATAGCAGCTGATGACTACAATGCCAAGCACACCCATTGGGGATCTAGACTTACCAACCCGAAAGGAAGACAACTATATAACGCTATAATAACCCCACGACACAAGCTAGACTTTATCTCTCCGGGCAAGTCCACATATTGGCCCACAGATCCAAACGAGCAACCCGACTTGATTGATTTTGCAGTTACACGAAGGGTGCTACAAGCTGAGATTAATGTAGATCACTTAACAGATCTATCATCGAATCACTCGCCCATTCTACTTCACCTTTACAACCATCCACAGCTTTCGGAACGCCCACACTTTCTAACTTCTAGCAAAACAGATTGGCTCAAATACAGGAAGTACATAAGCTCTCATATTGATAGCTGCCCAAACATTAATTGTAAAGATGACATTGATAGGTCAGTCGAAGCATTGGTATCCTCAATGTCACTGGCAGCAAAACACTCAACACCAATATTAGCATCTAATAAACTTTCCAACAGCAGTCGTATTTCTAGGCACATTGAAGTGCTGCTACGCGATAAAAGAAGGCTTCGCCGAGAGTGGCAAGCACACAGATCACCTGCCTCGAAAGAGCGGCTAAAAATAGCCAACCACCTACTACGCAGAGCCCTAGAAGATGAAAAAACCGAGCTCAAATATCCTATATGAAGCAACTCTCCCCAACTAGCAAACGATTCCCACTGTGAAAGGCAAATCAGGCGTATGGCCACCAATCGAGAGTGAATCACCTTTGAGTACACCAACAGGAGAGTGGGCTCGCAGCAACAAAGAGAAGGCAAATACATTTGCCGTCCATCTAGAA